AAATGTAAAAAAAGAACAAGTGCTGTGGACTGAATTGTTCACCCTGCCCGCTTTTCACGTGTTTCAGCCTTAACCCTCAGAGGAATGCTATTGGGAGATAGGCCTTTGGGAGGTAATTAGGTCTAGATGAGGTCATGAAGATGGAGCCCTCATGATGGGATTAGCTGTTTTTTTGTATTTGTAGTAGAGACAGGGTTTCACCATGTTGGCCAAGCGGGTCCCGAACTCCTGACCTCAAGTGATTTGCCCATCTGAGCCTCCCAAAGCGCTGGGATTACAGGTGTGAGCCACCTCGACCAGTCTGCTCTCTCTTTCTTTCCCCAACATGTGGGAACACAGTGGGAAGGCGGCAATCTGCAAGCTCAGAAGAGAGCCCCCACTAGAACCCAACCATGCTCACATTCTTTTTTTTTTTTTTTGAGACGGAGTCTTGCTCTGCTATCCAGGCTCAGGCTGGAGTGCAGTGGCATCATCTCATCTCATCTCACAGCAACCTCCGCCTCCCAGGTTCAAGCAATTCTCCTGCCTCAGCCTCCCCGGTAGCTGGGATTACAGGTGCCTTCGACCACACCTGGCTAATTTTTTTTTTTTTTTTTTTTTTGGTAGAGATAGAGTTTCCCCATGTTGGCCAGGCTGGTCTCAAACTCCTGACCTCAGGTGATTTGCCCATCTGAGCCTCCCAAAGTGCTGGGATTACAGGCTTGAGCCATTGTGCCCAGCCCCATGCTGGTATTCTGATGTTGGACTTCCTACTCTCCAGAACTAGGCAAAAGTAATTACTGGGACTGAAGCCACCCCATGTATTTGTTATGCAGCCCAAGCCAACCAAGAGCAAGACATCACGCAATGTGCGGGTATTGCTAGGCGCTGTGGCTTATGTCTGTAATCTGAGCACTTGGGAGGCTGAGGCAGGTGGATCACTTGAATTCAGGAGTTTGAGTCCAGCCTCGGCAACAAAGGGAGACCTCGCCTCCACACACACAAAAACTGTTTTAATTAGCCGGGTGTGTTTGTGAGCTGTGTCATGGCGGAGAGCTCTGTGGTTGTGAGCCAGGTGTGGTGTGGGACCTGTGGTTCCAGCTACACAGGAGGCTGAGGCAGGAGGAGTATTGCTTGACCCCAGGAGGTGGAGGCTGAAGTGGGCCATAATTGTGCCACTGTACTCCAGCCTGGGCAACACAGGAATATCCTGTCTCAAACAAACAAGAAGCTGTGCGGGTGTACGATATTTTCCAAGATATATATATTTTTTAGACAGGTCTTGCTGTGTCACCCAGGCTGGAGTGCAGTTGTACAATCACAGCTCACTGCAACCTCTACCTCCCAGGCTCAGGTGATCCTCCCACTCCACCCTCCCCAGTAGCTGGGACCCTAGGCATGTGCCACCACGCCTGGGTGATTTTTTCTTTTAGAGACAGAGCCTTGGTCTGTTACCCAGACTGCAGCGCAGTGAAATGATCTCAGCTCACTGCAACCTCTGCTTCCTGGATTCAGGCAATTCTCATGCCTCAGCCTCATGAGTAGCTGGTACTACAGGCACCCGCCACAATGCCCAAATATTTTTTGAGATGGAGTTTTGCTCTTGTTGCCCAGGCTAGAGTGCAATGGCGTGACCTTGGCTCACTGCAACCTCCACCTCTCGGGTTTAAGCAATTCTCCTGCCTCGGTCTCCTATGTAGCTAGGATTACAGGCATGTGCCACCACGCCTGGCTAATTTTCTGTTTTTTTAGTAGAGGCAGGGTTTCATCATGTTGGTCAGGCTAGTCTCGAACTCCTGACCTCAAGTGGTCCACCGGCCTCAGTCTCCCAGAGTGCTGGGATTACAGGTGTAAGCCACCAGGCCCTGCCTATTTTTTGCATTTTTAGTGAGGATGGAATTTCACAGTGTTGGCCAGGCTGGTCTCTAACTCCTGGCCTCAAGTAACCCTGTGGCCTCGGCCTCCCAAAGTGCTGGGATTATAGGCATGAGCCACCTTGCCCAGCCACCTGGATGATTTTTAAATCGTTTCCAGGGAGTGAGTCTCCCTATGTTGTTCAGGCTGGTCTCCAAGTGCTGGGCTTAAATGATCCTCCTGCCTCAGTCCCCAAAAGTGCTGGGATTACAGGCGTGAGCCATTGCGCCTGCCCAAACTGGGTGCTTTTAAAATGCTGTAGAAAACGAATAATCAAGTATGCCTGTTCCAACTGGTTGGTTTCTCATGTGTGTGGCCTCCAGGGGCACTCTGAGCGTGGCCAGCGGGGACTTGGTGTCCCCCCCAGTCTGGGTCAGGGGTCCTCAAAACACCAGGTTTGGCGGCTGCCTGCAGTTCCGAGGTCTCCCGGAAGGTGGAGCGCTGCAGTTGGGACCCGAAGCCAGAGGCCCCCGAACAGGCCCCGGGACCCATCCAGCCGTGTAGGGGTCAAGAATGTCCCTGGGGACACGCCCGGGGCTGGGGCCAGTGCGTCTGGAGCCTTTTATGGGCACAAAGGTCGCCCCAGCATCGTACCAATAAAGAATGCAGACCCCCCGTGGGAGGGACTGTGGGGCTGGCCAGACCCATCTGGAGGGGCCAGATACCAGGCCAGAGCCTCCTGGGGCCTGAAGCTTAGGCTAATGTCCTGGCTTAGACACTGGGACAAGGTACTCAACTGTCTGGAATTTCCTCATCTCTCTAATGGGGATTAAGAACCTACCTTGCAAGGTTGATGTAAGGCTGAAAAACATGTGTCCCAGACTTGTGGTGAGGACCAGTGAGGCAAAATGAATTCTTATTTTAGGCTGGGTGTAGAGGCTAACACCTGTATCCTAGCACTGTGGTTTTGTTGTTGTTGCTGTTTTCTGAGTTGCCTTCTTGCTCTGTGGCCCAGGCTGGAGTGCAGTGGCGCGATCTCAACTTACTGCAACCTCCAGCCTCCTGGGTTCAAGTGATTCTCACGCCTCAGACTCCTTGTGCGCCTCCATGCCCAGCTAATTTTCTTTTTTTAAGTAGGGGGGGAGTTTCACCATGTTGGCCAGGCTGGTCTCAAACTCCTGACCTTTAGAGATCTGCCTGCCTCAGCCTCCCAAAGTGCTGGGATTACAGGGGTGAGCCACCATGCCCAGCCTGTATCCCAGCACTTTGGGAGACCAAGGCAGGTTGCTTGAGCCCGGGAGTTTGAGACCAGCCTGAGCAACATGGTGAGAAATCATCTCTAGGAAAAAATTCAAAACATTAGTTTGGTGTGGTGCACAGTAGCCCCAGCTACTGGGGGGACTGAAGCAAGAGGATCACTTGAGCCCAGGAGTTTAAGGCTGCAGTGAGATGTCATTATCTGAGTGCACTCCAGCCTGGGCAACAGAGCAAGATCCTGTCTCAAAAAGAAACCAAAAAAGGGCTGGGTGCGGTGGCTCACGCCTGTCATCCCAATGCTTTGGGAGGCTAAGGTGGGCAGATCACAAGGTCAGGAGTTGAAGACCAGCCTGACCAATATGGTAAAACCCTATCTCTACTAAAGATACAAAAATTAGCCGGGCATGGTGGCACATGCCTACTCGGAAGGCTGAGGCAGGAACATTGCTTGAACCTGGGAGGCGGAGGTTGCAGTGAGCAGAGATCATGCCACTGCACTCCAGCCTGGGCAACAAGTGCAAAACTCCATCTCAAAAAAAAAAAAAGGTGGGGGCCGGGCACGGTGGCTCACGCCTATAATCCCAGCACTTTGGGAGGCTGAGGTGGGTGGATCACGAGGTCAAGAGATGAGACCATCCTGGTCAACAAGGTGAAACCCCGTCTCTACTAAAAATACAAAAATTAGCTGGGCATGGTGGCGCGCTCCTGTAATCGCACCTACTCGGGAGAGTGAGGCAAGAGAATTGCTTGAACCCAGAAGGCGGAGGTTGCAGTGAGCCGAGATCGCGCCATTGCACTCCAGCCTGGGTAACAACAGTGAAACTCCATCTCAAAAAAAAAAAAAAAAAAGGCTGTGCATGGTAGCTCACACCTGTAATCCCAATCCCAGTACTTTAGGAGGCCAAGGAGGATGGATCATGAGGTCAAGAGTTCAAGACCAGCCTGGCCAAGATGATGAAACCCCATCTCTACTACTATACAAAAATTAGCCGGGCGTGATGGTGAGTGCCTGTAATCCCAGCTAGCTACTCAGGAGGCTCAGGCAGAGAATTGCTTGAACTGGGAAGGCAGAGGTTGCAATGAGCTGAGATCACGCCACTGTACTCTAGCCTGGGTGAAGAAGTGAGACCCTGTCTCAAGGAATAAAAAAGAAACCAAATAACTTCTTATTTTGTTTTCTTGAGACAGGATTTCACTTTGTCACCCAGGCTGGAGTGCAGTGATCCAAAAATAGCTCCTGCAGCCTTGAGCTCTTGGGTTCCAGAAATCCTCCTCCCTCAGCCTCCCCAGTAGCTGTGACTATGGGCATGTGTAACCACAACTACCTACCTAATTTTTTTAAGTTTTTGTAGAAATGAGGTCTCACTATGTTGCTCTGGCTGGTCTCAAACTCTCGGCCTCAAGGGATCCTCCTACTTCAGCCTCCCAAAGTTTTGGGATTACAGGTGTGAGCCACTGTGTCTGGACTAATAGTTATCTTTTTTTTTTTTTTCTAAGACCCAGTCACACCTGGCTAATTTTTGTATTTTTAGCAGAGATGAGGTTTCACCATGTTGGCCAGGCTGGTCTCAAACTCCTGATCTCAGGTGATCCACCCACCTCGGCCTCCCAAAGTGCTGGGGTTACAGGCGTGAGACACCTCGCCCAGCCTATTATCTTTTTTAAAAAATGAACCAATGTGCTAAAACCCCATCTCTACTAAATTTGAAGAAATTTTGTTGCATTTGAAGAACTTTTATTAGCTGGGCATGGTGGTGCACACCTGTAGTCCCAGCTACTAGGGAGGCTGAGGCAGGAACTCCAGACTTGATGCCAGGAGTCCCAGGCTGCCGTGGGCAATAATTGTGCCATTGCACTCCAGCCTGGGTGACAGAGCACAAGACCTTGACTCAAAAAAAAAGAAAGAAAAGAAAAAGAAAAAAGAAATTTTATTACCAGATGGGATTTGGCTGAGTCTCCCAGAGTCAAATTTGGGGTGTCCCACCTTTGGTATTGTCCTTGACAACTGTATCCCCCTCTTACACTCAATTCCTCAGTAATTCTGTCTGCTGCCTCCAAAATCCATCCGGAATCCTCAGGGTCTGGGTACAACTGGAATCTCCATCATTGTTCCTGTGGCTCAGTGCAGCCTCTCTTCAGCTTCTCTGGCTTCCACCCTCCCATGGATGCCACAAGACACCTTCATCACCTGAATCAGTGCAAGTCCCTCCTCTGCTTAGAACCTTCTACGGCTCCCACTTTATTCAGAGCAAAAAGGAAGTTCTCTATGTCACCCACAAGGCCCTTTGGGAAGTACTCCTTCAGTTCCTTGTCTCCGCCCATTCTCCCTGCCACCCCTGCTCCAGACACACCATCATCCCTGCATTTCTTAGAACACCGGGGGCATTTTAGCCTCAGGGCCTTTGTGAATGCCATTCCCTCTTCCGGAAATGCTTTTTCTTTCTTTCTTTTTTTCTGAGACGGAGTTTCACTGTTGTTACCCAAACTGGACTGCAATGGCATGATCTCTGCTCACCACAACCTCCGCCTTCTGGGTTCAGGCAATTCTCCTGCCTCAGCCTCCCGAGTAGCTGGGACTACAGGCACGCACCGCCATGCCCAGCTAATTTTTGTATTTTTAGTAAGACGGGGTTTCAGCTTGTTGACCAGGATGGTCTCGATCTCTTGACCTAGTGATCCACCCTCCTCGGCCTCCCAAAGTGCTGGGATTATAGGCGTGAGCCACCACGCCCGGCCTCTTTGTTTTTCTTTTAAAGGGAGTTTTTCTCTCGTTGCCCAGGCTGGCATGCAAAGGCGGGATCTCTGCTCACCGCAACCTCCGCCTTCTGGGTTCAAGGGATTCTCCTGCCTCAGCCTCCTGAGTAGCTGGGATTATAGGCATGCGCCACCACGCCTGGCTTATTTTGCTGAGACAGGGTTTCTCCTTGCTGGTCAGGTTGGTCTCTAACTCCCGACCTCAGGTGATCCGCCCGCCTCAGCCTCCCAAAATTGCTGGGATTACAGGGGTGAGCCACCGCGCCCCGCTCAGAAATGCCTTTTCTTTTGGTCTTCCCGGGACAGAGGTCTCAGCTCACATCACAAGTCACCACTGCTACAGAGAGGCTTTCCCTGACCGCCATCGCCATCTCGGTGTGGTCACTGGAATTATCTCCTTTATTTCGTCACCGAGTTCTTTTCTGGGTTCCCAAGCAGAGCGTCAGTTCTGCGAGGGCACAGATTTTTGCCTGGTTTGTTCACTGCTACGGGGTGTCGCTCCACTAACACATTTCCCCTGCGTCTTTTCCAACTGCACCTTCGGCTGCATTCCCTACACATTCCTTTATATAAAAAGAAAAAGTCTGTAAAACTTGGGAGGACAGTCGTGGGATGCGGGTGTCAGTCTGCAGCCGGTTCTGGTACCAGGGTCCGGGCGGCTGTGGGCGCACCGGGGCTGCCTGTGGAGCCGCTGGTGTCCAGCCCGTCGCGCTGAGGCGACGAGCGCTCCGAGCGACTGAAGCTCCCATCCAGGCCCGGGGGCAGGCAGCGGCGCAGGCCCCCGGAAGCCTCAGCCGGGCTCCCGGACTGCGGGGAGCCACCCGGGCCTCGGCCGCAGGGGTGGCGGCCACAGCAGACGAGGCGTAGGAGCGCGTGACGCAGGTCGCGGTTGGTGAGAGTGTAGATGATGGGGTTCAGAAGTGAGTTGGCCATAGCCAATCCCAGGAAGGGATCGGCCTGCAGGAGCACAGGACAGGCGCGCGCGGGACACGCCACGTCGAGCAACAGCAGCAGGAAGAGGGGGCCCCAACACGCCACAAAGGCCAGGAGCACCACGCTGAGCGTGCGGAGTAGGGCCAGCGAGCGCGGCGTGCGACGCGCCCGGGTCAAGGTGGCCCCAGCAGTTCCGGGCCGGGCCTGCAGGCGCCGCGCGTTAGCGCGCACCTGGCAGTAGATCCGCACGTAGAGCGCACAGATCGCGCCCAGTATGCCCACGAAGGCCAGCACGCAGAAGAGCACGTAGGCCTTGGCGTAGAGCGGAAGGACAGTGGAGCAGGCGTCCAGGCGACCCAGGCAGTTCCAGCCCAGCGCCGGCAGGAGCCCGAGGAGCAGCGACATGCCCCAGGCCGTGGCTGCCATAGCCAGCGTTCGTCCCCGACTGGCGGCGGGCGCCGGCCCCCTGCGAGCCATGGTGAGGCTACGCTCCAGCGCGATGGCCAGGAGGCTCAGCACAGACGCCGCGAGTGCCACGAAGACGCCTCCCTCCCGCGCGAACCAGAGCGCGGGCGACAGTCGCAGCGTGAGCGGCCCCGACAGCAGGATGTTGGCGGCGTAGGCGGCGCCAGCCAACAGATCCGACAACGTGAGGCTGCCCAGGAGCAGAAACATGGGCGCGTGGAAGCGTGGGTGGCGTCCGAGCACCAACAGCACAGCCAGATTCTCTAGCACGATGAAGGCGCACACCGCCAGGCACACCACGGCGTCGGCGCGCAGGCCAGCCCCGGGCTGGTAGCGTGCACCGCGGAGCTTGCCAGTGTAGTTGTAATGCAGGACGATGACCTCGCTCACCGGCGCCGGCCGCAGCAGCCAAGACTCCATGGGCCGCGCGCCCCAAGGCTGTGGAGAGGCAGGACACGGTGTCAGCCCACCATCCCCGGCAGCCGGCTAAGCCGTGGGAAAGGGGTCCTACTCCCTGACCATCACCCCCCACACATGGGGCCCAAGGGGAGTTCAGGATGGAGGAATAGAGTCCGTGGAGACAGACGGACACACAAATAATATCACAAGGGGACAAGGTGACATACAGTCTCAAAAAAGGGACATTGTAACACATGCATGGCTGAACGCAGTGGCCCACGCCTGTAATCCCAACACTTTGGGAGGCCGAGGTAGGTGGATTACCTAAAGTCAGATGTTGGAGACCACCCTGGCCAACATGGCAAAACCTCATCTCTATTAAAAACACAAAAATTAGCTGGGCATGGTGGTGCATGCCTGTAATCCCAGCTACTCAGGAGGCTGAGGCAGAAAATCATTGAGAGGAAGGTTGTAGTGAGCTGAGACTGCACCACTGCACTCCAGCCTGGGTGACAGAGCAAGACTCTGTCTCAAAAAACAAACAAATATAACAAAAAATAACAAAACAAAACAAAAAACAAATACAAACACACACACACGCACCCACACAGCTGCGTGTGGTAGCTTACTCCTGTAATCCCAGCACTTCGGGAGGCAGAGGCCGGTGGATTGCTTGAGGCCCAGGAGTTGGAGATTAGCCTGGGCAACATAGGAGGACCCTGTTTCTACAAAAAAATTCAAAAATTGGCCGGGCATGGTGTGCACCTGTAGTCCCAGCTACTCAGGAGGCTGAGGTGGGAGGACCACTTGAGCCCCAGAGGTCAAGGCTGCAGTGAGCCTTGATTGTGCAACTGTACTCCAGCCAGGGCAACAGAGCAAGACCCTGTCTTTAAAAAATAAAAAATAGAATTATAGGGCGTGGAGCCTATAATAGGCCGAGGCGGGTGGATCACCTGAGGTCGGGAGTTCGAGACTAGCCTTACCAACATGAGAAACCCCGTCTCTACTAAAAATACAAAATTAGCCAGGTGTGGTGGTGAATGCCTGTAATCCCAGTTACTCGGGAGGCTGAAGCAGGAGAATCCCTTGAACCCAGGAGGCAGAGATTTCAGTGAGCCAAGATTGCGCCACTGCACTCCAGCCCGAGCAACAGAATAAGACTCTGTCTCAAAAAACAAACAACAAAAAAAATTCAGTCACATGAATAAGGGGTCTCCCACCCAGTGGCACAGGCCACAATTTCACAACTCCACTCACACTAGCCTGGGGCCCATGACACCAAACTCCACACTTTTGTCTCACTGCACACAAAGCTTTTTCCTGCCAAAACCCCCTCATCCACCCAAAAACCCCATGAGAAAGTTGCTCCTTGGCCAGGCATAGTGGCTTTCTCCTGTAATCCCAGCGCTTTGGGAGGCTGAGCTGGGATGATCACTTGGGCCCAGGAGTTTGACACCAGCCTGAGCAACATAGTAAGACTCCATCTCTACAAAAAATTTAAAAATTAGCCAGGTGTGGTGACATGTGCCTGTATCCCAGCTACTCAAGAGGCTGAGGTGGAAGGATCACTTGAGCCTGAGAGGTAGACGCTGCAGTGAGCCATGATCGCACCCCTGCACTCCAGCCCGGGAGACAAGAATGAAACTCTGTCTCAAAATAAGGAAAATTGATCCTATTAATTTATTTTACTAAGGCAGAGCCTGAGGACAGGAGAGAGAATCCACAAGGGGCTGACAGGCTCTTGCAGAGGGGCACACGTGTCATTAAAGTATAATAACATTCCTCACCTGCCTCTGTGTCCTTATTTTTTATTTTTATTTATTTATTTTTTGAGACGAAGACTTGCTCAGTCACCAGGCTGGAGTGCCACTGTTGTGATCTCAGCTCACTGCAACCCTGGCCTCCCAGGTTCAAGCGATTCTCCTGCCTCAGCCTTCCAAGTAGCTGGGACTACAGGCATGCTCCACCATGCCCAGCTAATTTTTGTATTTTTAGTAGAGACAGGGGTTTCACCATGTTGGCCAGGATGGTCTCCATCTCTTGATCCCTTGATGAGCCTGCCTCAGCCTCCCAAAATGCTGGGATTACAGGCTTTAGGGACTGCACCCTGCCCTCTGTGCCCACATCAATCCCTGCTTCCTTTAGTCCCAATGTACAGGTGAGAAAACTGAGGCTCAAAAGAAATGCTTCGTATCAAAGCAGGTACAAAGGTTTCCACGCTCCCACACAAACATCCATGCAGAAACGGCCCTCATGCAAGTTCAGATGAGAAAAGCAAGGCCTAGGGAGGGGAATGGACTTCTTTTGCACAAGGCAGAGATGCGTTCACCCCCAGAGAGCTTCGGTCACACACAGAGAACCAAGGCAGGCAAATATAGACAGACAGGAAGTCTCTGGCTCTCCCAAGCTGGAGATGGGGAGCCCAAATTGAGGAAGACAAGGTTTACACAAGCTCTGATGGGAGGCCACCCCCATTGGCCCAGCCTGCCCGGCAACAGGACTGAAGTGTGGGAACTTGCAGTGGCCCGGCCAGGAGGGGGTGAGGCCAGGGTGATTCCAGCCACCTTCTCCCCTTATCCCAGGCCCCGCACCCAGCTGGTGAGTCCCCAGCTTCCCCCTCCCCAGAGGCCTCCAGGAAAAGATCGGGGAACTCCCAGCAACGGGCGGTGCGGTGCACCTTTTTAGACAGGGAAGGTGGCAGCCAGGGCGACTGCCCTCCGGATCAGGCCCAGCCCTGCGCCCCCATGGGTCCAGTGCGCTCCACTCACCCTGCGCCCTGATCGTGCGCCCCCCGCAGTCGCGCTGCCTTGAGCTGAGTGAGCCGAAGCCGCTCCGGGGGGCGGGGCTGGAGCCTCGCCGGAGCCGGCGAGGGGCTGACCAGCGACGCAAAGGGCCGGCGGTCGCCAGCAGTTGCCCCTCCCCTCGGGTCCCGGGCACTCAGCCCGTGGCTGCCAGCCTGTGCCACCCGCCGCGGCACCGGAACGCGCCCCGGCGGCGACTGGCACAGGCGAGCCCTCAGCTCCCCGCTCCGGGCCTGGGCTGCCCCCTCCCAGGGACGCTCCGTTGCGAAGGGAGGACTCCGAGAGGAGGCGGGAAAGGGAGGGTTCTGCGGCAGGACGGTCGCAGCTCGAGCCTCTTCTCCCCAGCGGTGGGGTCTCCTCTGTCCTGGGTGCCCAGGCACTACGCCCTCCCCATTGCCCACGCACCTGTGAACTGAGCTTCCTGGGCTGCACCCCAAGGACGCCCCGTCGATGGTTCGGAGGGGTCTTTAGTGCTTGCTTAGCAGGAGTCTTCAGCAGGGGCCACCTTAGCCTGAGTCCGATCCCACCGGCAGATAAGTCCCTGCTGCTCCCGGGCACAGGCCCCTCCCAATTTCCCGCTCCCGCCCCCGGCTCAGGGCGAGTAGGGGTGAGACGGGCGGGCAGGATTGTTCTGGGAAGTTGATGCTCCTTAGATAAGGAGGGTCTGTCCAGTCCCACCCCCTGGATTCCGCGTTCCCCCGACTGGTTCTCTCCCACCCTTATTGCTGAGGACGAAGTGATTTACTCATTAATGGTGTTTCTGGACTGTGTCAGTAACAGTAAACCCCACCGATGTAAGGATTTTTTTTTTTTTTTTTTTTTTTGTCCCAGACAGGATCCCGCTCAGTCGCCCAGAGTGGAGAGCAGTGGTACCATCATAACTCACTGCGGCTGCGACCAGCTGGGCTCAAGCCATCCTCCCATCTCAGCCCCCTGAACATAGCTGCCGGGACTCCAGTCGCTTGCCACCATGCCCAGGTACTTTTTTTTAAAATAGAGACAGGATCTTGCTATGTTGCCCAGGCTGGTCTTGAACTCCTGAACTCAAGCGATCTTCCCACTTGGACCTCCTAAAGTGCTGGGATTACAGGTGTGAGCCACCGCAGCCTGTCCATTGGGGTAGGGATTTGAGTCTATCGTGGGCACTGCCAGGACACAGCCAGTGCCCATTGTCTGCTGCATGAATGAATGAAGGAAAGAATGTCTCCCTCACGTCCTCTGTGTCTCTCTCAGGAGGATCTTAGCATCTCTTGCCTGCGTGTCTCTCTGTCTCTGCGTGTCTCTTTGTTGCTGTCTGTGTCACTCTCCCACGCCTCTCCCAGGCCACTGCTCCTCCAACCAACCCTTCCCACTGGCCCCGAAATGCCTCCACCCCCACTTCCCAGGAGCTTCCAGATGGTCTCAGCTCTTCCACCCTCAGACTCAGGAAGGGGGGTCTGGGTCCCGCTGCTTCTCCAGGACCTTGCCCTTTGCCCCTGATGCTTCAGGCCCTGATGGCCGCGGGTGGAGTGAGAGCGTCCCAGGAGAGATGAGCCAGAGGCTGAGAATAAGCGTGGATCGGAGGTGCCCTCGTGGGAGGAAACTCCGGGACGCTCAGGCTGGGTCACGCCCCCATGTAGCCCCTTGGGGATCCCAGCCCTCCTGCCCCCACTGTTCCCTGGGTGGGCAGAACCTTTCCTTCCTACCCTGCTCAAAGACACAGCCAACGGACCGCAGGGTGGGATGGTGTTAACCCTTCAGTGCCGGGTCTGCCACAGTACTGGGGATTAAGTCCACTCCAATGGTGCCCACTGGTATGAGCCCTGAAGATCTCCCAACATGGCTGCACTTGGCACCCACTAGGCGCTCAATAAATGACCTCCTTCTGTAAAGGGGAAGCCACACCCCAGGGTGGGAAGGTGGCCCCTTCACACCTCCCAGGCACCAATCTCACCTCTCATGAAATGGAGCTCTTCCGGCTTCGGTTCCCGGCCCAGCAACCCGCCGCTCCTTCTGCCTCCCTGCACTTCTTTCCCACGAATTGGGACCCTGGGGACTCAGGCTCCAGGATCTGGACAGATGTCGGGAGTCCCATCCCTAACTGCCACTCCGAACTCCCAACCATGGTTCTTTTGTTGTTTTTTTGTTTGTTTGTTTTGTTTTTGAGATGGAGTCTCACTTTGTGGCCCAGGCTGGAGTGCAGTGGCGCGATCTCAGCTCACTGCAACCTCTGCCTCCTGTGTTCAAGTGATTCTCCTGCCTCAGCCTCATGAGTAGCTGGGACTACCTGCGCCCACTATCACAGCTGGCTGATTGTTTGTATTTTTAGTAGAGACGGGGTTTCACCTTGTTAAGCATGATGGTCTCCATCTCCTCACTTCGTAATCCGCCTGCCTCGGCCTCCCAAAGCGCTGGGATTACAGGCATGAGCCACCGCAGCCGGCTGGCCACCATTCTTAAAACTCAGATCGGCCGGGCGCGGTGGCCTCTACTAAAAATACAAAAAATTAGCTGGCCATGGTGGCGCGTGCCTGTAATCCCAGCTACTCAGGAGGCTGAGGCAGGAGAATTGCCTGAACCCAGGAGGCGGAGGTTGCGGTGAGCCGAGATCACGCCATTGCACTCCGGCCTGGGTAACAAGAGCGAAACTCTGTCTAAAAAAAAAAAAAAAAAACCTCAGATCACGTTTTCTCTCCTGCTCCAACCCTCCCAAGGTTCCCTGTGTCTCTCAGAGTAAGTGACCAAGTCCTCAGCAAGGACCTCCCCACCCCAAGGATAAGGCCATATGCAGTCCCGATCTGTCTGTTGCTGTTACTTCTGTGTCTCTCTCTGCCCACGCTGCGTCTGGCTGCCGGGCTCCTCCGAGTTGCACGTACACTTCAAGACCTTTGAGCTGGGCATGGAGGCGCGTGCCTGTAGTTCAGCTACTCGGGAGGCTGAGGCTGGAGGATCCCATGAGCCCAGGAGTTCTGGGCTGTAGTGCGCTATGCCAATCGGGTGTCCACACTAAGTTCGGCATCAATATGGTGACCTCCCAGGAGCGGGAGACCACCAGGTTGCCTAAGGAGGGATGAACCGGCCCAGGTCGGAAACGAAGTGGTCAAAACTCCCGTGCTGATCAGTAGTGGGATCAAGCCTGTGAATAGCCACTGCACTCCAGCCTGGGCAACATAGTGAGATCCCGTCTCAAAAAAAAATTTTTTTTAATGTAAAATAAAAAAATAAAGAAAAAAAAAGACCTTTGAACTTGGGGACCAGGTGGCCTGCGCGCCCTTCTCCCCACCCCTTCCCAGCTGGTCAGCTGGTCACTTGGTCACCTCCTCAGAGGCCTTCAGTGATCTGTCCCTCATCTCAAACGGCAGTTGGCATTATCTGAAATCATCTTGTTCTTTTTGTTTTTTTGAGACAGAGTTTCACTCTTGTCGCCCAGGCTGGAGTGAATGGCACGATCTCGGCTCACTGCAACCTCCACATCCCAGATTCAAATGATTCTCCTGCCTCAGCCTCCCGAGTAGCTGGTACCACAAGGCACGTGCCACCATGCCTGGCTATTTTTTTTTTTTTTTTTAGTAGAGAGGGGGTTGCACGGTGTTATCCAGGATGGCCTCCATTTTCTGACCTCATGATCCTCCTGCCTTGGCCTCCCAAAGTGCTGGGATTACTGGCATGACCCACTGCACCTGGCCTTTTTTTTGAGACAAGAGTCTTGCTCTATTGCCCAGGCTGGAGTGCAGTGGCATTATTTGGTCTCACTGCAAACTCCTCCGCCCCTGAAACCTCCCTGCCTCCCAGGTTCAAGCGATTCTCCTGCCTCAGCCTCCTGAGTAGCTGAGATTACAGGCATGCGCCACCATGCTCCGCTAATTTTTTATATTTTTTTTTTTTGAGACGGAGTTTCGCTCTCGTTACCCAGGCTGGAGTGCAATGGCGCAATCTCGGCTCACCGCAACCTCCGCCTCCTGGGTTCAGGCAATTCTCCTGCCTCAGCCTCCCGAGTAGCTGGGATTACAGGCACGCACCACCGTGCCCAGCTAATTTTTTGTATTTTTAGTAGAGACGGGGTTTCACCATCTTGACCAGGATGGTCCCGATCTGCTGACCTCGTGATCCACCCGCCTCGGCCTCCCAAAGTGCTGGGATTACAGGCTTGAGCCACCGCGCCCGGCCAATTTTTTATATTTTTAGTAGAGACCGGGTTTCACCATATTAGCCAGGCGGGTCTCCAACTCCTGACCTCAGGTAAACCGCGCCCACCTCCACCTCCCAAAGTGCTGGGATTATAGGACGAGCCACCACACCCAGCCACTTTGTTCATTTAGTTATTCATCTGCCCTAATGTGTATCTCTGACTAGAGCCTCCGCTCCAGGAAAGCAGGGCCCCTGTCTGTCCCTCTGCCCAGATTCCTAAAGGTTAAGGGCTCACACTCTTTTTTCTTTTTATTCTGAGACAGTGCCTCACTCTGTCACCCAGACTGGAGTGCAGTGCTGTGATCACAGCTCCCTGCAGCCTCAACTTTCCAAGCTCAAGCAATCCTCCTGCCCCAGCCTCCTGAGTAGCTGGTGCCGCCACTGCACCTGGCTACTTTTTAAAATTCTTTGTAGAGACAAGGTCTCACCATGTTACCCAGGCTGACCTTGAACTCCTGGGCTCAAGCAATCCTCCCGCCTCGGCCTCCCAAAGTGCTGGCATTACAGGAACGAGACAGGACTCAAGGTCTGGAGGCAGGCAAGTGATGCCCATTCTGAGCCTCAGTGGACTTACCTGTAAAATTGAGATAATAGGTCAGGTGCAGCAGCTCATGCCTGTAATTCGAGGACTTTGGAAGACCGAGGTGGTCAGATCACCTGAGGTCGGGAGTTCAAGACCAACCTGCCCAACATGGTGAAACCCTGTCTCTACTAAAAATACAGAAATTAGCTGGGAGTGGTGGCTCATGGCTGTAATCTCAGCTACTCCGGTGGCTGAGGCAGGAGAATCACTTGAACGTGGTAGGCGGAAGTTGTAGTGAGCCAAGATCGTGCCACTGCACTCCAACCTGGGTGACAAAGTGGGACTCCGTATAAAATAAATAATAAATAAATAAATAAATAAATAAATAAATAAATGTGAGATAAACTCACCCACTCCAAGGCTGTTGTTGAAGATGAAGTGAACAGCTGGAACAGAGCCAGGGCATACAGTGAGAGCTCCACCATTACTGCAGGTATTACTGGTCACCACTGTGTCCCCAAAGAAGAATTAGGGCAATGGGCTCACAAGGAATCAGCCCCAGGCATTGCCACCACCTGCCCCCACCCTATCCCTCCTCCCACATCCTGCAGGCCAAACTGTCTCTTCCTGGGCGCAGGGCATCCCTGGCCACTGTGTTCCCACTGTACCTTGCAGCAGCCCTCCTGCCTGAAGCATGTCTAGACCAGCACACCTGCCTGGCCGGTTCTGCTGCCAGCACCGTCGCCCACAGGGACAGCTCCACCCAGCGCCCACTCTTGCAGCGCTGGGTCTGCACCTTCAAGAGGGCAAACTGCCTCCTATGATCTCCATTTCCCATTCCCACCTTCCCCACTCTCCCCACTTATTTTTTTTGAGACAGAGTTTCACTCTGTATTTTCTGTGGAGTGCAGTGGCACGATCTCAGCTCACTATAACCTCTGCCTCCTGGGTTCAAGGGATTCTCCTGCCTCAGCCTCCTGAGTAGCTGGGATTACAGGCGCTCACCACCATGCCCAGCTAATTTTTGTATTTTTAGTAGAGACAGGGTTTCATCAGATTGGTCAGACTGGTATCAAACTCCTGACCTTGTGATCCACCCACCTCGGCCTCC